CCAGAAGAGGGCATCTGATTTCCTGGACCTGGACTTACATGTGGTTATGAGTGACCTGGTGTGAATGCTGGGAACTGAGCTCAGGTCCCCCTGCAACAGAGCTGAGCCATTGTCTCTCTAGCCCTCTCCTTATTTTTGGAGTTATGGTCTATCACTGAACCTGGAATTTATGGATTTCCCTAGATTGTACCAGCTGGCCAGCAAGCTCCAAGGAGCCTCCCGTCTCTATGTCCCCAGCCACTGTAGTTGGATTTTACTTGGGCATTAGGGATTTGAACTTAGGTCCTTATGTTTGTGCATAAGCATTTTACTAATCTATCTCTCCAAACCCCTCTCCCCTGTCTCTTTGGAGTCTTGCTATAATTCCCAGGCAGATCCTTAACCCCTAGGGTTCAAGCAATCCTCCTGCCTCAGGCTCCTAAGCACCTGGGGTGACAGGTATGTGCCACCAGGTTCTGCTTTACAGTTTTGACATTGTTATTGTTTGTTTTTAAGATAGGATATCCCTTGCTGCCCTGGAAATCAATACGTTGACCAGACTGACCTCAAAGTCACAGAGATCCACCTGTCGTTGTCTCTTCTGTGCTGGGATTAAAGACGTGTGCCACCACAACCCACTCCTGCTTTAAGTTTTTAATAAATAAAAATTAATTCAGGGGTCTGAAGAGATGACTCAGTGCTTAAGAGCACCAAGTGCTCTTTCAGAGTTGGGTTCAAGTCCTAGCAAACACATGGCAGTTCACAACTGTTTGTAACTCCAAGGTCTGACACCCTAACACACACACACACACACACACACACACACACACACACACATGCTCGCAGCAAAACACCAATGCAAACAAAATAAAAATAAGTCAAACAGTGGTGGCACACGCCTTTAATCCTGGTACTCAGGAGGCAGAGGCAGGTGGATCTCTGTGAGTTTGAATCCAGCCTGGTTTAACACGGTGAGTTCCAGGACAGGCTCCAAAGTAACAGAGAAACTCTGTCTTGAAAAAGAAAGAAAGAAAGAAAGAAAGAAAGAAACAAAAATAGTTCAGATCTTGGAATGGTGGCACATGACTATAATCCCAATACTTTGGAGGCAGAGACAGGAGGATCAATGCAAGTTTGAGGTCAATCTGGTCTACATAGTCTCTAGTCTGCTTAGGCCAACTCAGGCTACGTAGTGAGACACTTTCTTCAAAACAAACAAATATTAATTTAAACAAAGAAAGGGAGGTTGGGACAAGACGATTGTCTAAGAGATTCTATGCCTTTCAAGGTACAAAGTGAGACAGTGTGACTACCAGGAAGAGGAAAGGCCGGCCCCTTCATCATTAGCGCCCCATCCCTATCCCTACTGCCACTCTAGGTCCTGGGGCTTCACCATCTGCAGTCCCAAGAATTCCCCTGCTTCCCTTGAAAGCTCATCACCATACCTGGTGCTCTGACTGGGCATCAGGGCTCCTTTAACTCCCTATCTGCCCCTCCTCCAGTGAGGGAGGCCAAGAGCCTTGGTAGTACAGAGGTCGCCAGGTTGCAGGTATGCCCAGGGCAGGGGGAAGGGACACTAAGCTCAAAGGCTGGGCCAGAATGAGATCCTTGGGGCCTGCCAAGTCTCTGGGGATCCAGGTGTTCTCCAGGGGAAGACCCCCCGGCCCACCATGGAGGCCCTGGGCCCTAAGAGGCCCTTAAGAAAGCCCCAAGGCTCACTTGCTTACGGTGCTCTTGTGGTAGCCGTTGGCTCACAGAGGAGTTTCACAAGCAAAAATAATTCTCGGGCCGGTGATATGGCTCAGAGGGCAGAGGTGCTTGCTGCCAAACTTGATGACTAGAGATTAATTCCCAGAATCTACATGATGAAAGCCTAGCTCCTGCTCCTATCTCCCCAATAAGTAAATAAGTAAATAGGTGCAAAAGTCTTTTAAAGAAATATTGCTTGCCTGAGGCAGGAGGATCACTTGAGTTCAGAAGTTTGAGATCAGTGTGGACAACATAATGAGACTCTTACACACACACACACACACACACACACACACACACACACACACACCCCTTTCTTTTTGGTGTGAACTGTGGTGAAACACACCTTTAATCCCTGTGCTCAGGAGACAGAGGCAGGAGAATGGCTGCAAGCTAGAGGCCAGCCTGGATTCACAGCAAGCCCCTGCCTCAAAACAAAGACATAAAACAGCTCTTTGTTTTTTTCACTTGTTTTTGACACAGGGTCTTATCATTTAGCCCAGGCTATCTTCAAACTCTTGATCCTTCTGCCTCAGCCTCCCAAGTGCTGGGATTACAGGTGTGTACCACCAAGCTTAATCAGATACATGTTCAATGGTCAAGTGTTCTGTTTGTTAGATCAGTTCAGCACGTGACCAAGTCCCACCACGGTTAGCAACTTTATCTTGCCATTTTGGCTTTGCTTCCCCCCTAGACACACATGTGCACATTCACATATGCATCTCACACACATACATACCTTGCACATGCATCTATGTCTATAAATACACATACACAATGCTCTATACGTATCAATATATGTACACACATATGCATTAGATACCACAGCCATCGGTGTCATATACAAGACCATCTCTTACACATGCTGAAGTCTTCAATGCATGAAGCAAACTTCTCTAAGACACAATAGCATCTAATACCAGGCTGTATTCAAACTTTCCCACTTATTTATGGAAAGTTTTGGCATTAGGTTTTTTTGGTGTGGTTTGTTTTCTTTCTTTCTTTCTTTTGAGGCAGGGTCTAGATCTAGCCCATGCTTCCCTAGAACTCACCGTATAGCCCAGCCTGGCGTCAAACTCATGGTGATCCTTCTGCCTCACACCCAGATATTGAGATTGTAAGTGAGTTACCATGCCAGGCTTCAGGAGGTCTTTGTTAGAAGTCGGTATCAGGTGTGGGCTCTTGCCTGCTGCCTTGTTGGAGGCAGGGTTTCTTGCTCATCACTTCCTGAGTCTGCATAGCTTTCAGGGATCCTTCTGGCTCCACTTCCCATCTCGTCTTAGAGCCCTGGGATTACAGGCCCGTGTCTGCCGTTTGTGGGCCTGGGGAGCCAAAACTCAGGCCTTCATGCACACAAAACAGGCACCTTGTCCACTGAACCATCTCTGCAACCCCGGCTTTGCATTATAGGGTCATTGATGGGTCTCAAACTCACAGGGCTCCTCCTGTCTCAGCCTTCTGGGTGCTAGAATTACAGGTATATGCCATCATGATCAGCCCTAATTTTTGAAGCACATGTGTGTGTGTGAGTGTGTGTGTGTGTGTGTGGTGTGTGTAAAATCTGGGACAGATTTGAAAGTCTGAAGGTCCTCTGGGGTTTGGCAAATTGCTTTTGTGGGGTAACTTATTTTCTTCTAGCTTTTATTGTTATTTTGTTAAAGACTAGAACTCACTATACAGCCCGGATTATTTTGAACTCACGGGCCTTATGCAACCCTTTTCTCTACCCTCCTCAGCAGCTGAGAATACACGTGTGAGAATACAACCACAGCCAATGCCTGTGTTTTCTCTAACTAGGAATTAATACCAGAAGCTTGGTTTACCTTGGGGGGGGGGGCGCATTTCTGGCATACATTGCACACCACGTACTTAGTACTTCAAACCGTGTGGTGCACACTCAGCGGCACTAAGGTGTGTCCAGATGTTTGCGACTCTGGCTGCCATCTGTTTTGCCGAATGTTATGTGACAAGTCTCACAAGGGAGATGTAACCTACACAGCCACTCACTCCAGGTAGGGAGTCCAGACGCAGGCCAAAAGTACGGATACCGCTAAGGTCCAACTCGGTAAACAATGAGTTTTTTGGGAGGTTGCTTACAGGAATATAGGTGAGGGGTTACTTACAGGAGTAAAAATGATTCAAAGACAGCAGCACCACCAAAGCCCACCCCAGCATGGGTCACAGATCACGGAGTTGGGAATCTGGAGCCCAGAGCTCAGCAGGTTGAAGACTGGGAATGGTAAGAGATCAGCTCTCAAGGGCTTGTATGACAGTCTCGCACTGGCTTCTCTTGGGCCACATTCCAGGACACTTGGAGAGTGTGACGTTCTGAGTAGGTGGGCTGACCAAAGAAGTGACCTTTCAGATGGCTCTGACGTCTGAGTAGGAGTTTCTTCAGTAGAGAAGTAGGAGAGTGTAAACAGAGTCAGGGTCAGGCCACAGACCTCTTTGAGGAACTATTGGTGTCACGTGATCCCTCTGACTGTGTGTGGAGAGTGGTTTTGAAAAGGTAGCCCTGAATGTTGTAGCCAGGAGTCTGGGTTCAGTCCTCAGGTGATTGGGGGACCCCAGTAGGGTTTTAACATCAAAAAGGGCCACACGGCCCTTCCTTTGAGTCTGTCCACTCCCGCTGGCCGCGCATGGGGAGGGGAATCTGTTGGTGTCCACGTAGGTGGTGCGGTTGGACAGGACTGGGGATGAGGGACTGTTTCTAAAGCAAGTAGAATCAGTGGGATGGGGCAAGAGGGGGAGATGAAGTGGGCGAGAAAAGCCCGAGAAGATGCTGGTTCTATGCAAGTTGAGGAGCAGCCCGCTCTGAACTGGGGGAGGCTGAGGCATCTGAGAAGGCCTAGAAAAGTCAGGTTATGGGGCCAAAAGCCTGACCCAAAGGGCTCATGGGCCTCCACCCTGCAACACTCCGTCTTTGTCTAGGAGGCCCCAATAGTCTGTCCTTGTCTGCTGTCCATGTGCCAACAGCCACTGAGGTGGGCAGCGGGGCTTTGTCCGGCTCCCAGTCTCTGCCAGGAGAAGTTTCTCCCCAAGACCCCTACTGGCATGACTGAGGTCATAGGGTAAACAGCCCCTGGAGATCACCACTGAGGGGACTTCACAGGTCTCTGGGGACCCGTAATTTCAGTCCCCTCTGAGTACTTCCCCGCCTTTGGATCCTCCCGTCTGGGGAAGTAGGACTTCTTCTTTTAGTGCATGAATATTAGGCTCGGTGGTGACTAAGAGATGTCTGAACCAGTGGGTGGAGAAGTGTTTAAATATCAGGCCTCCTTGTCCTCTGGTCATTAGACACCTGTCAAGGATAGATTCAGCATGGCCAGCCTGCGGACTCTGCTCCTCCTAACTCTCGTTCTTCTCGCTGTGGTCATTCAGACGCCTGATGCAGGTGAGGCTGGGGAGCAGAAGAGCAGACCCTAGAATGTCGGGAGGCAGTCTCAGAGTGGTTCTGCCATCGAGTTTTGTGACTTTGGGCTAGCTCTGGCACTCTCCTGGACTAGCGCTATGACTTCTAAATGGGTAATACCGTGTAAAAACTGGTATTACCCATTTATAAACTGGATAGTCAGGAAGGATTGTATTAGGATCTGCCTCAGTTGGTTTGGTGGTTGTAGTATGCAAGGCCTAGGGACCCTATTGCCTAGGGTGTTTCTTAAGCGGATACAGGGCCTACAAGGTATCAGGTTTGAGTTGGGGAAGGCAGAGACTCACTTCGAAAGCTGTCCCTGCCCTCACAACACCCAAGGTTTGCTCTGGAGCCTGTGGTCGACACAGGGTCCTGACCCCTCTTTCCCCTCGCACTATCAACACTCCTGCTTTGGGCAGGGCAGGAGAAGGGTCTCCGTCTGGAATGAGGCAACTACAATCAGACAATTGTTGCTCACAGACAGCCTCCATATAACTAAGTCCTATGGGATTGGTATTCTTCTACGGGCCTCGGAGATGACAAATGATTAGGGCCATTCAGGGGCAGAGTGGGACTTGACCCAGGTCTGCGTTGTGACTGTCATCTGTCTGAGCCTTGATTCTGATGCTGCTACAGTCTCACTGTGTGTGACCTTCCATGCTTGCCTTCTGCTCTGCGCCTCACCAGGGCACAGAGACAAGGAAGATGCTTCTAATTCTGCACTGCACACATGAGGGTTGGTGGGTCTGGAGTAGGATTGAGCAACCGCCAAGCTCCTGGGAAGCTGGTACTAGTGTTCACACACTAAGCCAAGGTGAGCACTGGGGCTTCCTTTGGCTCAGAGGTGCAGGACCCCATTTAGAAGCCGGTTGATGTTCAGCTGTTCTGAATCCACTTCCTGGAGCTGGCTGTCCCAGAGTGTAGACACTGGGCCCTGAGTGACAGCTCTGAATGAGGCCTAGAAAAGATATTTATCTGGGTGGGATAGAACCTTTCCCTATAGGTCAGTCTGCGATCAGGACTGGGGCTGGCCTCTCTGCACTCCAACTAACATGCCCTGGGTACCCCTCCACCAGCTCCCTACGGTACCAACATGGAAGACAGCATCTGCTGCCAGGACTACATGCGTCACCCCCTGCCAGCACGTGTAGTGAAGGAGTACTTCTGGACCTCCAAGTCCTGCCGCAAGCCTGGCATTGTGTGAGTAGGGAGCTGGGCCACAGGGCACGGGAGGAGGGGCATGGCAGATGTGGTCCAAGAGTGGGCAGGATGTAGCAAGTTCCAATGCAAGGAGGCTTGGCTGGATGGGATGGTTCTGCCAGGCTCGGGTGTTCTGAATTCCAAAATGATGGTACCATTCAACAGATAGTATTGGACGTCTGTAACGTGACAGAGCTGAGAATGGCTGCTGAATCAATGGGTACCACCCCAGCGTGGTACGCACACGTGGGCAGTAGTAGCCACAGGCAGTTGGTGATGGGAAGCAGCGTGGGTGCCGGGTACAAGCAGCATGCCTAGAGTCGCTCCCTGCTAAGACAGTCTGTGCCCTCCTAGCCCCCTGGAATTCTTCCAGGTAACCCTTTTGGCCAGAGACATACGATGAAGTGCCGACATCTAGAGATGGCTGCCTGTGTGCCCGGCTATTCCGAGCACTGCGTATGTGACTCACTGAGTCATGGAAGCGATGCTATAAGGAGGTTAGCCTATTTCATAGGTGAGACCCAGGCTCAGCAAAGGGAAGGGATCCAGGATCAGCAAAGAGAAAAGGACCCAGGTTCAGGAGAGGGAAGAGGACTTAGGCTCAGCAGGGGGAATGGAAAGCAGGCCCAGTAAAGAACTTTACTTGCCGGGCAGTGGTGGCGCACGCCTTTAATCCCAGCACTCGGGAGGCAGAGGCAGGCGGATCTCTGTGAGTTCGAGGCCAGCCTGATCTACAAGAGCTGGTTCCAGGACAGGAACCAAAAGCTACGGAGAAACCCTGTCTCAAAAAATCCAAAAAAAAAAAAAAAAAAAGAACTTTACTTGCCTTGGGGCAGGGTTTCCCAGGCTGTAGCAGGAGCTCCTGTATTCCTGGGAGAAGTTTCCTCTTGTGATTCTCCCCTTGGCACCCCAGCTTTCACCACATGGCAGGAAGTCTGCTCTTTTTCTGTGGTAGCCCCCCTGGATGCTTCTAACCCCCAGAGCCAGTTTCCAGCCACATCACCTATTGGACAGTTCTTGGATTTGGGGTCACGATCCCACCCCTTGGGCTCTGTATCTTCTCTCCCTCCTCCCACAACCGACTCCATCTCTTAGAGATGTCTGCTGGAGAAGGACAAAGAAGGGCGGAGCAGGAGCCCTCCCAAGGTTCTGGCTCCTTCAGCCCTGAGTCTGTTTCCCATCACTTCAGCAGAGCCATAGCCCAATCTCCTGAGTGCAGAACAGTTCTGTGCTAAGCATAAGGCACATAACCCTTAGCTAGAAGCAGCCCTGTGCAGCAATCCCAGTCTGTCTGGTTCCCTTGCACACTGAGGAGGTGGCACGAGCTTAAGGGTCCCTTTAGCATCACAGGGCAGCAAATGGAAGCCACAGGGCTCTGGCCTATAATGTAAGAGATGCTCAGGGAAGAACAAACCCTACTGATCCTTGGTCTATGAGCCCAAAGGGAGTCTAGAAAGAATACGGCTTGACAGGTGGGGAGATGGGCATGCAGGGAGGGACCAGCCTTGCGTAAGATGCCCAAGAAGCCACACTCAGGCTGGCTGTGGTGGCCCACAGCTTTAATCCCAGCATTCAGGAGACAGAGGCAGGTGGATCTCTGTGAATTCAAGGCCAACCTGGTCTACATAGTGAGTTCTAGGACAGCCGGGGCTACACAGAGAAACCCTGTCTAAAAAAAGGAAGGAAGGAAGGAAGCTCGGTGTTGCTATTGTCCTTAGACGCTGTTCATTAGTGGTCTATGATGCAAAGTTCAGGGATGTGGGGAGTCAGCAGCTCTCAGCTGTATGGCAGGACTATTGGGACGCAGCTATGGAACCGGAGCAGAGATCCCAGCACCGGCCAGCCTGTACCCTCCTTGCCCACTACAGCTTCAGTGCCCAGGCCTGGTCTAGTACTTGCTGCAACTAAGAAGGGCAGAAGCCGTGGGCCACACTTGTTGGAAAGGGGGAAAAGGTGGGTTTTAGCCCACAGCTCAAGGTGCAGGCCTTCGGGCAGGGAAATCGAGGCAGCAGGAGCTGGAAGCAGCTGGTCACATCTTGTCCACAGTCAGGAACAGAGAGGAATGCAAATGCTTAGCATGTATCGCCACATCTACTGCCCTGGACCGGCCTCACCCACAGTTCCGAGGGGTTTTCTCCTAGCACTTAAAAATAAGATATCCCCATAGGCGTGCCCAGAGGTCTCGGAGGTCATCCTAGATGAGTCAAATGACAGTAACTTTTCCATCACCACGGGGCAAACCTATTTCTCCCCGAGATGCTCTAGGACTCTCAAAGAGGCCTGGAGGGGATTTCTTCAAAGTCACAGTCCAGCCCCCACCCCAGACATATTTTACTCCTTATATTTGGTCAAATTTCTTTAAAACATGGAGTTATTGCAAGAATCAAGGAAGCCATTATAAAAGAGTTTGAGGAAAGTGCTCAGTCAGTAAAGTTCGTATCCTTAGCACTCATGCAAAAGAGCCAAACGAGGCAGGCTGTGCTGTAATCCAGTGGTGGGGAGGCGAAGACAGGACTATCCTGGGCTTTGTGGGCCAGCTTGTCTGTTTGAACTGGAACTTCAAGTTCAGTAAACTGCATTTAAAAATAAGATGGAGAGAAAGTGAGGGAGACACTATGTTAACCTCTGGTCTCTACGCATCTGTGTGCATGCATGTGCGTGCGCACGCTCACACACACACACACACAAAACAAAACCAATGTAATGTAAAGTGTTGGGGCCATCTTCTGACACAATGACATAGCGCCTACTATGTACCCCGACAGCTTCATTGAAATCTCACGTAGCTAGGCAGGACTATCACCCCATCTTACAGAGGTGGAAACCTGATCCCAGAGAAGTTACCTGACTTGTGAACAAGGAGCAAAAGTAGAATCCATTCCAGATAGGCTGCTTCCAAGTCCATACTTCTGTCCAGTAGCCTACTAATGTTATCATTTACTCCCTGGTATCTCTTCCAGTTTGATAACCATCAAGAACCGGGACATCTGTGCTGACCCCAGGATGCACTGGGTGAAGAGACTTCTCCATAAGCTGACCTAGTGAGGAGGGCCTGATGACCATGGGCTTGGCCATTCCCGCTGCCATTTATGCAAGAAAGCTGCCAACGACACTGCCCTCACCCACCTCCGTGTCCTGGACTGTCACCCTGTCAGGCCTCTGGTCCACTCCACCTCCCCTGCAGCCTCTCTAACCCATCCTCGGCACACGGCAGCTGAGGGAGCACGTTCAGGCCAGCCCTTTCCCAGAATCCCCTCCCATTGCTTTAGATGAGGCCACACCCTTGCTTTGGTGCCCTGGTCCTGCAGACCTGGCTACCTTCCCTCTCCCCAGCCTAGGGAAGATCCAAATGCTTCGGGTCTGTGCTGCTCAGGTTCACTGCCTGGAAGCTTGCTGATACTCAGAACGCTATTCCTCCACTTGCACTGGCCCAGTGCCAATGGCCTTCAAGGCTTCAATCAATCCCGGTGGGCACCGCCAAGCACCGTTCTTCAGACTTCCGTGGTCTCTGCCTGCTCTCTGTAGAACTCTCAGGGTTTCAGGATGGTCCACCAGGCCCGGGGGTTAGGCTGAGGTTCCCACCAAAGCTCCTCCTGTCTCTTGGTCTCCAGCATGGGGCAGGGAGCACGGGGCATGGAACGCGGTGCACACAGGCAGGCTCAGAATCAGAATTCTGAAAGGAGCTGCAGACTCCATCAGTATAAGTCATTATTTCCCCATCCCTGGGTACAGGGCAGTCTCCTGTCACCACAGAGACTCGGGCTGTTAGAAGGCGGCTATGTAAGTCAACCGTGCAACCCTAACTTTACCAAGAATCACCTTCTGTACCCTCTTTAACCATTTCTTCCTCACCCTGCTTCTCTTGACTGCTTGACTGAATTGCTGGTCCTCAAATTCATGCTATGGTGTTAGTGACTGCCATGGCTTGGTATTATAAGCTCTAGTGATATTTATATAGGAAAAGAGGCTAAATATTTATATAGGAAAAGGGGCCAAATAGATGAACTGGAGAGTCTTAGGAACTGGGTCAGGGAAGGCCATGCGTTCTCATCCCCAGAAAGCAGCTGGGTATGGTGACTGCAGTGGGTGGCATAGAAAAGCTGAAGAGTTTAGTTGGGAATTATTTTTGGGTGGTTGGGGCAAGCTAGGACACAGATTTAGGATTCATTTGTGCTTCTCTGGGGACAGCAGTGTCCTGGGGGAGGGGATAAATCTGCTTGCTCCTCTGGAGGGAAAGTGGCTTGGCTTAGCCGAGTGGCTTGATTGTGTGACCCTGAGAACCTTGCTTCACCTTTCTGAGCCTCAGCTGACAGATGGAACTGCGGAGGGTTAGATACAAACCGTGGGGACAGACACTGCCAGCCACAGCTGTGCCCACGGCTCATGTCCCTCCAGAACCCAGCAGGAACATCTGCCAACCAGGAGCACCGTTAGTGCTAATCTGCCCGCTGCCCATGCACGGAGTCTCAAGTGCCCTGAGACCCACCCGCCTCCTCTCCTACTTCTGGGAAAATAAATGTTTACCAACAGTGTCTGCCTTGGTCCCTCGTCATCTGTGTCACCGGGAAATAGGATGGGACGCCATGACCTGTGCCACTTACTGGAGAAGATGACATTCAAATATAAAGAGACTTGTATAAGGTTACCCTACGGGTGGATACAAGGCTTGGGACGCAGCTACATAAATACCAAGAGAAAAGCCAGGCATTTGTCCCCAAGTTCCCACTGACCTGGCTTGGTCATGCATAAGATCACTGCTTGTCCCCAGGTCCAGAGCTAGGTATAGAATGTTCATTCAATAGAAGAATTCTTTCTCATATAGGTGTATCAAACATTCTGATCAATGGACAGCCTCCAGGTGGATATCCAGGGACCTAGGGCCTTCCTTCTCCTGGATATGCCCTCCTCCAGGGTCTGAACCCCTCTGTGGAAGGGAAGGGAGGTTTGTGGGATGGTGGGAAAGAGTCTGCCCCATCTTGCCATGTGTCCTTGGCAGGACTCAGTCACATGTCATCCTGACTGCACGGGAAGCTGGGAAACAGGAAGAGGTTGGGTGGGGCTGGGCTGGTGTTGGGCTCCTCAGTTCTTCACAGACCCAGCCTCTTTCTTGGGTCCTCACACTGTCTTAGGGTTTCTGTTGCTGTGAGGAGACACCACAACTCTTAATAAGGAAACACTTAGTTGGTTCTGGCTTACAGTTCAAAGGTTTCGTCCGTTAGTGTCAAGGAGGGAAGCAGGGTAGCATGAGGCAGACATGGTGCTGGAGAGGTAGCTGGTAGTTCTACATCTGGATAGGCAGGTAGCAGGAAGAGGGCAACACATTGGGCGTGGCTTGAGCATCTGAAACCTCAAAACCCACCCCAAATGACACAGTTCCTCCAACAAGGCCACGTTTTCTAATATCACTCCTTATGAGTCTATGGGGACATTTTCATTCAAACCACCACGTTCCACTCCTTGGTCCCCATAGACTTATAGCTGTATCACAATGCAAAATGCATTTAGTTAACTTAAAAATCGTCATAGTTTTTAACAGTCTTCACACTATCTAAAAATCTAAATTTGAAGTCTCTCTCTCTCTCTTTTCTTTTTTGAGACAGGGTTTCTCTGTAGTTTTGGAGCCTGTTCTAGAACTAGCTTTTTGTTTGTTTTTATTATTTTTTAAAATTTGGTTGATTTTTATTGAGCTCTACATTTTTCTCTGCTCCCCTTCCTGCCTCTTCCCTCCCCTCCAACCCCAAGGTCCCCATGCTCCCAATTTACTCAGGAGATCTTGTCTTTTGTTAACTTCCTATGTAGATTAGATCTATGTATGTCTCTCTCAATGTAGTCCTCATTGTTGTCTGGGTTCTCTGGAATTGTGATTTGTGGATTGGTTTTCTTTGATTTATGTTTAAAAATCACTTATGAGTGCATATATGTGATAATTGTCTTTCTGGGTCTGGGTTACCTCACTCAAAATGATGTTTTCTAACTCTATCCATTTGCCTGCAAAAGTCAAGCTGTCATTGTTTTTTTCTGCTGTGTAGTACTCCATTGTGTAAATGTACCATATTTTCCTTATCTGTTCCTCAGTTGAGGGGCATTTAGATTGTTTCCAGGTTCTGGCTATGACAAACAATGCTGCTATGAACATGGTTGAGCACATGTCCTTGTGGCACGATTGAGCATCCTTTGGATATATACCCAAAAGTGGTATAATCAGGTCTTAAGGAAGGTTGTTTCCTAATTTTCTGAGAAATTGCAACACTGACATCCAAAGGGGCTGTACCAGCTTGCATTCCCACCAGCAATGCACAAGTGTTCCCTTTTCCCCACAACCTCTCCAGCATAAGTTGTCATCAGTGTTTTTGATCGTGGCCATTCTTACAGGTGTAAGATGGAATCTCAGAGTTGTTTTTATTTGCATTTCTCTGATGACTAAGGATATTGAACATTTACTTAAGTGTCTTTCAGCCATTTTAGATTCCTCTGTTGAGAGTTCTCTGTTTAGGTCTGTACTCCATTTTTTTATTATTTGATTATTTGTTCATTTGATGACCAATTTCTTGAGTTCTTTGTATATTTTGGAGATCAGACCCTCTGTCTGATTTGAGGTTGGTGAAGATCGTTTCCCATTCTGTAGGCTGTCATTTTGTCTTGTTGACCGTGTCCTTTGCTTTACAGAAGCTTTCTAGAACTAGCTCTTATAGACCAGGCTGGCCTCAAACTCACAGAGATCCACCTGCCTCTACCTCTCGAGTCCTGGGATTAAAGGTGTGCACCACCACCACCCAGCTCAAAGTCTCTTGTTAGACTCAAACAATCTCTTAATTATAACGCCCTGTAAAATCCAAATAAAAAATAGATTATATACTTCCAACATGTAATGGCACAGAATATATATTATCATTCAAAAATGGAGGAAAGGGAGCATGGTGAGAAAGGCTATAGAACCAGACCAAAAACCAGCTGGGCAAACTCCAGACTCTGCATCTCCATGTGTGATGTCAAAACACTCTTCAGATCTTCAGCTCCTTTCAGCTTTGTTAACAGAACACACTTTTTTCTCCCGGTCTGGTTCCAGCCCTGTTAGCAGCTCTCCTCTGCAGGTATTCAACTCCGGCATCTCTAACACCTTGTGTTTGCCAATGAAATCCAGGCTTCAGCTTCACACAAGGGCCTTTCTTGGTCTCCATGTAGGGACACCTCTGACATATTCCTGGCCTCAATGGCTTTCCTTAGTCAAAGACAAAGATTCCATAACCCCTTTCTTGTATCCTTGACTCTAAAACCAGAACTACATGCCCCAAACTGCCAAGCTCTGCTGCTTGCTGGGGCTGCAACATGGCCCCCTCATTCAAATACATTTTCACTGACTTTCTGCTTCCCATGGTTTCCTTCACTGTCTAAGCTTGACTGTCCTGAAACTGGATCTGTAGACCAGGCTGGCCTCAGACCCGGAGATCTGCCTGCCTCTGACTCTGGAGTGCTGGTATTAAAGGTGCGCATCACCACCCCTAGCTCTAAACTTTTCTTTAGTTCCTTTTCACAAGTTGGAAGCTTAGCTGGGTGGGATCTTGCACTGAGGTCACCACTCCCTTTTTTCCATTTAACATCAGGATTTTCTTTAATCTGTTTATCTCCTTGAACACAGGACTTGGCTCCATCCCATTTCCTGGTGTCCCCTTTCTCCTTAAACTGTACATTTTGCATTTTTCCTTGTTCAGTTTGCTTGTTTTCATTATAGATCTGCATATGAGTGAATACTAATAACCACATGACAGAGTCTATACTAAACTGTTTTGAAATTTCCTCTGCTAGCTCAATTAACCAAAACTCTTCAATTTAGCCTCAGATAGATTTTTCTAGACATGGAGAAACAACCACATTTTTTAGCCAAAATATCACAAGAATGGTCTCTACGCCACATGCTACAATACTAATATTCTTCTCTGAGACTCTTGAACCAGGCCCCCACAGTTCATATCATCCTTAGTATCACTGTCTTCCATGCTCCTACTAGGATGACCCATTAAGCCCCACTTAAAGCACTCAAAAGCTTTTCTAATTCAAAGTTCCAAAGTTCAGATTCATCCAAACAAAACCATTATCAGGCCTGTTGCAACAATATCCCAGGTCCTGGTACCAACTTCTGTCTTGGTTAGGAATTTTATTGCTATGAAGACACACCACAACCATGGCAACTCTTATAAAGGAAAACATTTAATTGGAGAGTTCAGAGGTTTAGTTCATTATTGTCATGGTGGGAAGCAAGGTTGCATGCAGGCAGACATGGTGCTGGAGAGGTAGCTGAGAGTTCTACATCTGGACAGGCAGGCAGCAGGATGAGACTGAGACACTGGGTGTTGCTTGAGGATCTGAGACCTCAAAACCCACCCCTAGGGATACACTTCCTCCAATAAGACCACACCTCCAATAATATCATACCCTAAGAATCTATAAGTGTCATTTTCATTCAAACCACAACACACACACACACACACACACACACACACAGAGAGAGAGAGAGAGAGAGAGAGAGAGAGAGAGAGAGAGAGATGCACACACATACCTCACACTGCACAGGCAACAAAGAAAAACCTTTCAAGCTCAATGACTTTTCTTTTGATTTCTTGAGTGTAAGCACCAACCACAGGCTTCCTGAAAGGCTCTAGAAAGCCCAAGGTTGGCAGACATGGCTCTAGCAGGTCTTGCCTTCCCCACCCATTCCCTCTTCCTTCCTAAACTGTTAGATTACAGTCCTAAATTTAGCCACTTCCTTCTCCTGAGGCTCACCACCAACGACCAGCTATCAAAGTATTGTAGCCCAGCAATCAAAAGCCCCCTTTGGTTCATGTAATTAACATGGCCAATTAAAGGAAAACAACTCATCTTAACATGGAGTTTCCCCCTTTCCTTTTATAAACTGCCATTTGCCTATGGGCCAATGTCTGTCTCCTCTCTGTTCAAAGGGAATCCTTTGTCCCTCCAGGACTAACATCCCTTACTCCTCCCTTTTTCTTTTTCCTGTCTTTTTTTGTTCCCTGTCTCCTGTCTTTGTCTGTTATTCCCTGCCCTTTGTCCCAGTGGGACAAATACATCTCCTGTGCTGAGAACGTGGTCTCAGGGTGTTCTGTACCGACTCCAGTCCCTTCATATGCTATCAACAAGGGTTCCCTTCATGTCTGCTTCGCTGGACTCTGCAGGCAGTAGCTGCAGATGCAGGGCATTTGCCTCCATGCAGCATCTGGAAGGGTTCACATCAACGATTCAGGCAGATGCAGGGCTTCTGAGGGTGTACCAAGGTGCTCTGCCTTGGAGCCTCAGTTCCCTCTGTGTGAGCAAGGAGGAAACCAGAATGCATCAGTCAGAATCTGACAAGAAGATCCCGGCCACCAACCTAGTAACAAAACAGATGAGGTGTCAGCAGTGACAGGAATGGAGACGTAGCTCCACTCTGGTGCTACAGCAGTCTGTAGGGTTCTTCTCAGAGACCAGTTCACTCAGGTGAACCCAGGTGCCCTTTTCACAGAAAAGGAT